TGTACTTGTCAACAGTGGTGTCCCCCAAGGCAGTGTTCTAGGACCAACTCTTTTCATACTCTACATAAATGACCTCTGTGATCATATTAAGAGCAACTGTGTTCTCTTCGCTGATGATGTAGAGCTATTCAACACCATAGACAATACTACTACCCTCCAAAAAGACCTTGACTATGTATCAGAATGGTCAATCAAATGGCAACTTCAAATCTCAACAAATAAATGCTCTGTCTTACATATTGGCAAAAAAAAAATCAGAAAATAAAATACAGGCTGAATAGTTAAGACATTGTTGATGATCCAAACTCTGTCAAGGATCTTGGAGTACTCATCTCTAATGATCTAAGTGCTAGAGCCCACTGTAACTACATAGCCAAAAAGGCATTAAGAGTTGTTAACCTAATCTTACGTAACTTTTTCTCTGGTAATATTACACTACTAACTAGAGCATACAAAACATTTGCTAGACCAATACTCGAATACAGCTCATCAGTCTGGAACCCACATTACGTATCTGATGTTAACACAGTTGAGAAAGTCCAGAAATATTTCACAAGAAGACTTCTCCACTCCTCTACTCGTTGTAGAATACCTTATGCCACCAGACTAGAAATTCTAGACCTAGAAAACCTAGAACTACGCCACCTTTGGTCCGATCTAAGTATGGTATATAAAATAATACATTGCAATGTCCTACCTGTCAATGAATACTTCCGCTTCAACCATAACAACACAAGAGCACACAATAGATACAAACTCAAGGTTAATCGCACCAAACTTGATTGAAGGAAATACGACTTCAGCAACAGAGTGGTCAATGTCTGGAATACTCTGCCTGACTCTGTGGTTTCTTCCCCAAACCCCAAAAACTTTAACCTTAGACTGTCTACTATTGACCTCACCCCCTTCCTAAGAGGTCTGTAGGGGGCACGCATAAGCGCACCAAGGTGCCTACCGTTCCTGTCCTATTGTTTCTTTATTTTTCTTATATGTACCCATTTCATGCATTCATAACTATGTATATACTTATACCTATTATCTTGTAAGCAATTGACAAATCAAAATAAATAAAAATAAATATTATTTTATCTATTTCCTTCCCCACCTTATAAAGGTAGGTTACTAAGTCAAGAGCTACACATCTAATGTTTCCAAGTTATTTAACAGATGAACCATTTCAAAAAACAAGTGATGTTGAAATCTGAGTCCAGATAATAACTTAATAAAATATAAACAAATGTTGTGATATAATCAACTTTTTTTTAAGTTCTGCAAAAATATACTCGAACTGTTTCAACAGAGATACATTGATTCATTTAGCAGTGCTATTACAATATATTATATGCAGTGAAACTGAAAGGATGACATTCTGAAGTAAAATGGTTTTATTTGTTTATATATTTTGTTTGTATCTCATCTTTATTATTTTTATAAACAACCTAAGGCAATGAACATATCCAACATATAAATTATAATAATTTATAAAAAACTTAAAATAGAGTGGCAGAATACAAATAGGAAAAGCCTCTTAACAAGTTCACCTTGTTGAAAATTGCATTTATTTTACCCATAAAACTAAAGGAATTCTAGATCATATATCTGTATCTTGTTTCATTGCTGTCAAAATGGAGCTAAATTTATATTAACCAGTGTGAAAAACATTTCCAAAAAATCAGTAAACAATTGCAAAACCCGTGTACTAACATATCAAAATTATTATTGAATAATATCTGGTCTTATCTACCCAATTTATAGATTAATTAGACAAAATCTTAAACTTTTGTATTAAAATAATAAGATTAGGAGTAGATGCATCTAGCTTATCTATGAAATATAAAGCAACTTTTGGAGGCAATGCTATTTTCTATCTCATCTCAATTATCACATCAACAATATTTTCAGAATTTCTGTTGACAAAATTAGAATGTTGAAAGGCCAATTATTTAAACATATATATGTAATTTGTGTAATTTCTGTTGAGATTTTGTGTTATAGATTAAAAAAAGAAAATACATTATTAGAATATGTTCTAGTTACTCAGTAAATGTACCTACTTAACCATACCATACTTAACTGTTAAGATATGAATATCCAGACTTTTGTGGAGTCCATTTGCTTCAGATCAACATATTCCTCCCATCTTATAAAACCTTTCTCAGCATCTAAAGAAATAATAACTATTTGCTTCTGCCTGTTTTGAAATAAAGCTATTACATCAGTTAGAAATCCAAAATCTTTCAGAATCCTGGCAGCCCCATAATATAAATCCACTTTCAGTTGAATGTAAAAAGTACAGACCCCAGACCAATTTAGAATACATCTTTAAGAGATAGTGGTTTTAGAATCAGCCTTCACATTTTATAAGAATCACAAATACTGGTAATAGATAAATTGTTATGTTGTTTCATTTGTGTAAATATAAAAGCCAGTAGCTCTTTGAGCCTCTTTTTTTCATAGTTGTCTGCTACAATCAAAGTCCATTTCCAAAGCCTGAAAGCCATTAAATTTGTATTTAATAAATTGAGAGATCTTTGTTCTCAGGAGGTAACAGTTCTTCGATTTTCTCTATGAGGTTAATTACTGGTAGTTGTTGTGATACAATCCTGAATAATTGCTTTTGTAATCTTTTATATCAAAGCAAGGGAGGAATACCATCCCTGCTGCAATGGAAAAGAGAAATAAAATCTGCCATCTCTTGTTCAGGGGATGCTTTTCAGGTTCACTTGCAAGAAATATAAACATTGACTCACAGAGTTAATGTTAGAGGCCCTTTAGTTCATTAGCTCCAGCTCCTTGCATTGTTCATGTGCTTCTGTATTGATAATGAATATGTTGGCTTGGACTTCTCTAGTTTGCCAACTGGAAAGCTGCCCTTTCTTTCTCTTTTTAAATATTTAATAATATTTTTATCATGTCATAAACAAAGTTTACCAGAACAAAAGTGTCTGAGGTGGTACAGTCAACATCTGCACCCCACCCAGCTGTTAGAAAAATGTTTGGTGTTCATCAAAGTAAATTAAGTCCCTAAAATCAGCAGTTACAATTTCTGGTTGGCAATTAAATTACAGTTAAATTGGTGAAATGTTTTGCTAGGAAAAGGTTTTCAATATCTGCTCTTTCCTTTTGTTTTCAGAATATGAATGAAGCTTCTTCCTTGCTCAGTGCCACCTGTGACACATTTATCACTACACTTGAAGAATGTGTGAAAATAGCAAATGCCAAATTTAAGCCGGAGATGTTTCCATTGCCTCATCCTGATCCTTTAGTTTCTCCTGTGTCTCCTTCACCTGTGCAAATGGTTGGATATTCTTTAATGTCAAACATTCCTGAACATTTGGGGAACTTTGGGAGGGAGCAATAGGGGATAAGCTAGCATACAGTTCCTCAGTGCTGTTCTAGTTCAGGTCACCAGGCTAGGCCTCTGCCCAAAGTTATGAAAGTCTCAGACCTTATCAGGAACACTTGCCTATTCTTAAATGCCTTGTTTTAGAAACATGTACTTCTGATAACAATCTTGCTTGTGGGGGGAAGATATTACCTCGTACTTTTACTGCCCAATAAACTCCATAATATTTGTCTATGAGCAAAAAACCAAGATAACCTATGGAGTTTAATGGAAATTGAGGACCTCCATGACTGACTATTCCCAGCCCTAATCTGTTCTATTCCCTTCCAAGCAACCATGATATCTTCTGAAGACCTGGTAACCTCTAAAGCACAAGAGTCTAGACCTAGCCTATTAATCCTCATTTACTTAAACATAGTGCTTCAAGGTCTCCTTATGGTTGAGAAACTAAATATTAAAACCAACAATAAAAACAATATTGTATTTTTAAAAAAATTATGTTATAAATGCCATGTTATTTATGTTCATATAATGCATGTTCCTCCCAGTACGTTCTGAAAAAAAATTCTATATACATATATTAAAATAATATTTCATTAGAAATAGACTAAGAAACAATTTATGATTTCAAAATCTATAATCTGTTTTATATTTTGAAATCTATAATAACCTGCTTTATTACTTGCATTATTTTTTAGATGAAACGTTCTGTTAGCCATCCTGGAACTTGTACCCTTGAGAGGTAAGTATTAAATATTATTCCAAATTTAAACAAATTAGAACTATTATGTTAAGGTTCACTTAACCACATTGTGAGATATTGTCTGATCCCAAATAAATAAGAATGCTCCATGGTCTGGCAATTGAAATTCACAGCCTGTTGCCCCATATAATCTCACATTAATTTTGGAAAAATGTGGTTCTGATGAGTTTCTCTTACATGATATAATTGAAAATTAATTCATGACTAGATTGAATTCACTATGACATTTCTGTTTTGTACAGGCAGTCCTCATTTAGTGACAGTTCACAGTTATGACCTTGTAAATCAGGGCACTCAAAAGTGATCTGTCACATGACTGGCTGGTGTACCTACGGCAATCCCAGCACTGTCATTGTGGTTGTTAACAAAGACTTGATAAATGAGTACCCACCCCAATCCAATCCATTCTGGGCTTGGCCCCTCCCAGCCCCTAGCCTCAATAGGTTACAGAACTGCCTCCAACTCACTCCCTTCACCTATCTCTCCCCTATCTCTGCCCTTTGGCCACCCGACATCCAGAACTGACCAGCTTGCCCTAGCAAATGCCAGTAAGTTTGTTTGTTTAGCTGCCTTCTCTCCCGATTCCCTACACCAACTGTTCGCCTTTTTGTGCCCATTTGCTGCAGTTGGAGCATCTCACTGCCTTTGACGTTCCCTTGTCAGACCCAGTTTCTCCAGCAAATGTTTCCTACCGGTGATTCCACAAGTGCTGTCTTTATAAAGCTGTGCTGCCTGCTGGTGCTTGCTAGGCTTCATGGGTGCTGCATCTTGGCACCGTACTGCTAGGGTGGGCTGGGAAGCTATGTAAGAAGCTGGAGCCCCCTGGGGAACAGAGTGGTCACGGATCCGAAAAAGAAACAGCCAAAGGCAGCAAGGTGCTTCCGCTTTAGCAGCCAGGCACAAAAAGCAGAGGGTCAGTGTGAGGAACTGAGAAGGCAGCTGAGTGAATTAAGGCTTGCTGGCATGGGGGAACCTTCCCAGATGAAGATATTGTGCAGGGTGGCCAAAAGGTCATAGGTGTGTGTGTGTGTGTGTGTGTGTGTGTGTGTGTGTGTGTGTGTAGCTAGGCATGTGGGGGAAGTTAAAGTGCCCCTGCAATTGTAAATGTGGGGAGTTGCCAAGTGCCTGAATTTTGATCATGGGACTGGGGTGCTGCACTGTCCATAATTTTAAGCATGGGTCATAAATTTGTTTTTCATTTCCTTTACCTTGTATTGAATGCTATGCAAAATGCTAGTTGTTAATTTTTGTTATTTTGAGAAAAACTATTAAATTTCAACAAAAGGTAAAATACGAAAAATAGAAATTAGAAAAAGAAAAGCTCAGAAAAGAGCAGAAGTAAGAGAATTTTCAGAGAAAAGGAGAAAAATGAAAGAATAATTTCTAACTTTCTTTGGTACAGATACAAATATAAAATATATTGACCTCTTAACAATAATACATAGCATTTCTATAATCAGTTCTAATAAATTCCAAAATTAAAGTTTCATTTCTTTAAGTTTCAAGCAAAAAATCCAAAAATGGTTTCCAAGTACTATAGAAACAAAGCTGGACAAGCTCTTTTCTTTTATCAAAGTAGTCAGTTTTATCATCTCAGCCAATTGCATGGGCTTCACCATCCATTCTTCTATTCTAGGAACTTGTAGACCTTTCTAACTCCTTGGATACAGAAATCTCGCTGTGGTTATCATGTATAAAAACAAAGTCCCATTTTTCTTTCAGTCTGTTTAGCCATCAAGCCTAAAAGAAAATTTTCTGATTTCAGTTGTACATTTATTTTAAGAATTCTCTGGATTAAAATACATATCGGATTCCGGTATTGTTAGTTTTCTTACATGTCCATTAAAGATGATAAAAAAGTACCTCACTTTGCATTTGCATCATGTATTTGACACTCTCTTAAGCACCTACAACAATTCAATGGGTTAAAGGTGTTAGTACCAGATACCAACCATACAACATCTTATAAAAATTATCTTTCAAACTACAATTCAATGTAAATTTCAGTACTTTGCAGCACAGTCTCCTACTGATCAAATATTATTTTGCCCATCTAATCATGCAGTCTTAACATGTTCATTTTCAAATAACATGTTCATTACTGGTTCACAAATCCAATTTAAATTCACTTTTCTCATTTGTAAAAATCACAATTGTCCATTTTAAACCTTTCTGTCAATTGAACAAGAGCAAACTATTGACAAATATGACTTTCTATTTCCAGTTCTTTTCTTGATTTTAATTTAGATCCTTCTTCAAAAATTTAATAAATCAACATAGGTCAGCCAAGTTTGTGTAACTATCTTTTCTCTTCTAAAAAAAGCTTCTCGGGTGGTACCTGTAGAGGAATTTGGGAGTCAATATTGTTTTATAACTTTTAGAAACTCAATAGGGCATGCTTAAATGAAGTGTTTATTAAAATCTGTATTAACTTTAACTTCATCATACCATAAATAGCCATGCCACCCAAATCTTCAAAATGATATTTGGGAATTTTGTGCACCATCTAGTTTAATTCCTTAGCAGACTATTTATGTTTAACCTGAAGTGATTCTTCACCTTTTCATCTTTTGCAGTATTTTTTTTTTTTTTGGCAATATATGCCAGGGATTTACAAACAAGATTAATAAACCCAAGAGAACCGTGTGTCTAAAAAACATGTCATAACTTGTGCAATACTTTAATTTTAGGAGCAGTCGCTTTGGAAAAGAACCAAATGTGTCTTCCCATCAGCTTTCCCACCGGTGGAGAAGAACAGTCTCAGATACAGAACCTTCCATAGATGTTCCCTTTGAAGATACAGACAGTAAGGACATATAACTTTATGGATGTTGTCATTACTTTGTACTCATTTTTCTTATATCTTTGTCTGTGTTTTTGCTAGAATAACAGTGAATATCAAAATAAATTACAGCAACTCTCTTGTACCACACTCATTCAGCTAAGATGGATTCAGTAGTTTGTTAAAGATAGAGAACAGGCACAATGCCATAAGCAGTGAAAAAGTGTGCAAGAAACACTGAAGTGGCAACTCAGAGAGGTATTTTTCCTAACTTCTTTATTGATGTTAAGCAGTGGCACTTTTCCTATGTGCCCATTATGTATATCTTAAGTTAAAATTAAACTCAGTGGTGTTTCTTGTTGCGTGAAGGAGAAGATCAGGATAAAGAATTGTACAGTGTGAGGTCTCAAGTCTCTTTTTTATAACCTCTCATCTCTGTCTGACTACAGTGACTGAAAATCCATAGCAGTGTATTTCCCATTTGCGAGTGAGATAGTTTTAAAAAACAAAGAGATCCTCCCCCCACTCCCCCCCCAAAGAACATCCTGGTCTTACTCTTTCATGTGACATGATCCTGCCACTGTAACCACTGCTTCTGCCCAGTTGTGCAGCCCTGGCTTACAAAGACAGTCCATTCCTGTGGTCAGTGTTCTGAGCTGCACACAGGATTCCCAACACATGAGGCTGGGTGCTAGTTGAGCTGAATGTGGTTTTATACCTGAGCAGGTCCCAGATGCTAGCTTTCTTCAGAAGGTATCTAATGCTGAAATTTGGTTTATATGTGGGACTTAGAACTTGGGATGACTTCTTGGCATACCAAAGGCTCATGCTAGCCTAAGTACATAGCAATAGAAAAAATATTTGTAGCTCAGGGCTGAATGGTGGAGTCCTTAGTGCTCTCTGATTTTGGTTGTTTGTCTGCAGACATTTCATCACCCAGTTAGGAAACATTTAGGGAGTAAGGTACACTGACAGGACAATCCACTGTATATAAATAGAGAGCAAACCACACTCCCTTTGAGCAACAAAGATGTTACTTAGGTGGTTAATTAAGTGTCTGCAAAAAAATCCAATCAAGCTCAGAGAGCATCAAGGACTCTACAAGTAAATCATGCTTGCTTAAGTGGACAAGCATCTGGCCTAAGAGTTTCCTAGATATCTGTGTCCACATGAAGCAGGTTTTGCTTCATGTGGACACAGAGTTAAGGCTTCATTTGGAACATCTTTAAGCCCTGTGATTCAGATAGGATGGTATCTCCTTGTATAAAGTAAGCAAAGAAAGGCAAATGGATTGAAGCCTGCTTTTCATGTTGCAGGACTAGCAACATTCAATTCTAGAGGAGCCCTCAATGGAAATTTGGCACCGTTGGCTGTTCCTGAAGCAAAGCTGTTGCTGTCTCAGAAACCCAGAGTGCCCGAAGAGACTTTTTCTGAGCCAATCTCCTGAGGAAAGAGAAGGCCCCACTTCCTCTGAGTAATGCTATGCAAAAGCTGCTGTAATTCTGTTCTCATCGTGAGGGAGTAGTGATTCCCTATGTGAAGGTTTTCTCTGCACTTTATAGAATAATGTAAAAACTATCTTTGAAGTGTATTTTATCTTTATATAGTTGACTTGCAAAAGTATTTTCCTAAAAAGAACATTTCAGTTTGGGTATTTTTTAATAGATAGGTGGATGCATCTTTGTAAATACTGCTCTTCTTTTTACTGGGTGTGATAGTCAGGCCAACCTTGAGAAACAGGCTTCAGATCTGGATTAGGGAAAACCTGTGCCCTAGTCTGAGCCGCTGAATTTAATCCCAGAGTTGCTTTACCAAGAAAGGTATTCCTCTGGGTACAGTCTCTTTCCCACCAACATCAGTGGCAGTCCATCATATTGTAATAGCACCTTTATTTCAGGACAGATTTGTGATGGAGTTTGTTAAAAGACTGAGATGACTCGTAAAAGGTATCTCATAAGTGATCTTTCATCCACAACTTTGTCTTTTTTTTTCAAAAAAAGGTACAGTCTAGATTTTTAACGTATATCTGAAATTCCATTGAGTAAGGTAGAATGTCAATGAATCAGAAGAATATTTCAACCAAAATTAAACACTTCAAAGTCACAACAATGCTATCAAGTGAAACGGATATGCAGTGAAGTCAGTGAGATTTTATAGTGCTTAAATTGAGTTAGAGCGTACCTGATCAATTAAATCCCAACCTAATAGCTGAAAGCATCTGCATTTTTTTGTTTGACTTGCACCCAAAAATATAGCCAATCAGAAATATGTCATGGAGTATGCAGTATTTTTTTAAGCACGCATATATAATTATGAGGCATTATGCTATATGGTTAAAGATATTTTAACAATTTAAAAGAGATGTATTCATTTTGCACCATAAAATGCCTATTTAATGTTACTGCGATGAAAAGAAAACAGGCTTAATTCTTGTTGAGATTTTTCTCCCTAAATATGCCTTGTGGCAGTGTTTGCTTGTTTGTTTTTTCAGGTTAATTGGGCAGAATCCATCCAGGGTTGGGAGCTTACAACCTAAAGTAGAGGCATATTTTAATCTTCTTGTGTTAAACAATGCTTCCTTTGCCTGGACTGACAAACCCTTTCCCCCCATCCCCACACTTTTCTTTTTTTAGTGCTAGGCCGAACTAATCTTCAGAATGTCTTTTCACCAAAGTTTTTTTTTTTAATTTAATCCTGCTTTATAAAGTCTGCTCTTCAGCTGTTGTAATGTATTCGTGTTTGCAGAAGAACCTGTATGTTAATGATACCAAAGGGAGGGTGGCTTCCACCATAGTGGGCCCTAGTCTCAGAAAAGCAGAAAAATACAGTAAGATCCTCTCTTCTATTCACTCCCTGCTACCTGCCTCTGTTGATGCTGGGAGGCCAAATTCTAACTAAGCATGTCGCAGCTCTCTATGGCAGGGGTTCCCAACCTTGCCAACTTTAAGACTTGAAGACTTCAACTCCCAGAATTCCTCAGCCAACTGAGGCGAAGTCCACAAATCTTAAAGTTGCCAAGGCTGGGGACCCCTGATAGATGGTACATCATGGGCTTGGTTGGCCTGAAAGCACTCTGGTGATTCCACTCTGTTTCTGCCAGAGCAAAGAGGAAATAGGACTTGAAGTTCAGCAACGTTTGCACAGACATGTCTGAGGGGTTGTGTCCAAAGTTGTTAAGTGTTTTCAAATGTATATTTTTGTTTTTTATTCACTTTGGAATAGATTTAGTTAATAATGTATTGACCATGGTGCACTTTTTAAAAAAAATAAAAATGCCTTTTTTTTTTAAAAAAATGTAAGTGTTCAATAAATGCAGTTTTTACACAGACATTCTGTCTTATTTATAATTGCATAAATTTTGACTAACTGTCATTAGATTGCAAGGATACAAGCAACATTTTGCAACTTGGTGCTCCTCAGATGCATTTGATTGAAGCTTGTACGGTGCTCCAGGCAACATAATGAATGGGCACCTTGCCCAGGTGGATTGAGGGGAAATGTGGGTATGACCTTGATTCCAATTTGCTAGCTTTCCAAGTCTGCTCTCAAAACAACAGGTACAACGCCTACCCCTAGCCAAGGCATCTAAAGGCTACACTGGGGGCAGGGGAGTGATGGCAAGAGCACCTCAAGAAAACTTGTCATTGCTGAGTTGGGCTACAAATCACTGCTGCTTCTATGATTGAGCCCATCAGAGTTCTGGACTCAAGAAACCCAAAGAACATGCTTGAGAGATCAAAATTTGGTTTCAGAAAAAAACTATCTTGTAATCTGCAACTCTCATACTGCAAAAACATATGGACTACACAACTCGATCAGGGCAAAGCAATAGACGCAATCTACATAGACTTCTGTAAAGCCTTTGATTCAGTGGTACACA